TGTTCTTGCATTGAGAGAGTACTTGAGTCGAGGCCCAATGTCCATCTGCAACCTTAGTTCTTAACATATAGATATGAGTACATAGTTCTTAATGAGAACATTGAGAGAAAGAGTGGCAACCATAATGGCTTCAAGACTTGGGCCCGAGCAACTGGCGAATAAAGTTGTCAGTTACCGAGATAGAGAGCAATAGGGAGAGGCAGAGTTCCATTTTGGACTTGCTACATTTGGGGTGCTTGTTTAGGGTCAAGTAGAGAAATCTAGTAGCAGTCGAGTAAATGAATGTGGATTTCCAGGGAGAGTTCAGGCGAGATAGATTCAGGAAGCAGTGTTTGGAGAGATTCACATTGAGTCACGTAGGGCGTGAATCAGACTTGGATATCGCAGTGATCAGAGTTTGGGATATGAGGCAAACCAGCAAAGGAGAGTGAAAGGGACAGGCAGTGAGGTCAGGGAGAATCAAGAGAGTGGACCTCCTTCAAGCCAAATGAAGGGATGTTTCAGAGAGAGAATGACGAACTATCTCAAGTGTTGCTGATAGCTTATGCATCATCAGTATTGAATGCTTCACTCTTAAATATGGACAGTCAAGACTCTTTGTGGTAAAGTTGTAACATGGGACGGGTGACATAGAAGAACCAGCATCAGAGAGTGACCTGCAGGGAAGCAGAGATAATGCAGGAAACTGAAAAAAATTTTCAGTGATAAGAGTACATTTGTGAGGAAAGGGCATTAGAAGAGAATAGGATTTTTCCATAAACTTTTTGAACCCACTTAATCTTGCATCATAAAACTATAGTATGCTATAATAAAGAAATAATCTGGATTAAAATATTGCTAATTAAACATACAGTCATTTTTTTTCTCTGCAAGTAATTATCATTTTATTTTGGTTTTTTTAAACATTTTATTAGGGGCTCATACAACTGTTATCACAATCCATACACACATCAATTGTGTAAAGCGCATTTGTACTTCATTCTCAAAACATTTTCTCTCCACTTAAACCCCCAACATTAGGTCCTCACAGTCATTTTTTTAATGTCAATAAGATTTAGAAGGGAATGCCAAGAAAATCTAGACATTAAAGTATCAAGGCGATGATGGACGATAGGAAGAGCTAAGGAAATTAGAGATGCAGCTCAGAAATTCAAGAATGCAGTTACCAGACGTTCCAGAAGAAAAGAATAGGAAAAGGAAGGGGAAAGATTTGTGAGATAATTTTGAAAGAAAATTTCCCAGAACTGCAAGATGTCATTGTAAAAGAGGAACACTAGAGTGGAGAATCGCTGTAGAAAATAGAGACATCATGGCTACCGGTGTCAAATGGTAGCCAGAGATTGAGTGGGATGAGAAGTGAAGAGTAAGGGCTAGTGGCTTTTATGAGACCAGTTTAGGGGGGAACACTGCAGTGGGTTTGGGGAACCCATTAGAGAGAAGGCAGTAGAGGCGCTGAGTGTTTGCAAACCCTGAGTGAAGAGGCGATGTATATGCCTGCCAGAAGAAAGGGGCAGGCAGGAAAGTCTAGAAGGGAAGTAACACTTCTGCTCTAAGCAATAAAGTCTCTAATTAAAACTATGGGCATATTGATGGTTTATTGTATATCTTAAGTATATACATTTGGTACATAATTATTTTTATCACCATCTTACATTACAGAATCCTTAGCTTTTATTCCCACACAAGTCAAAGTACATTTTTCCTCAACACACCCTTTACCATACATCTCCTTATTTGCATGTTCCAATGTCTTTCCCAGCTGTGCAGTCCATTATTTTAGATTTGCTCTCAACAATTTCGCCATTCTTGTATATTATATAGTGGTTTTGCTGTTTCTAATTTTCAAGGAGCAGATTAGTTGTTGCTCTTAGTGCAACCTTTGCCAGCCTTGTTCATACGTTGTGCTTCTCTGCAAAAGTGTTGGATAGGACTCATTATCCCCGCAGCTCCTATTTCTGATACCCAGCACCCCACATGGGCACCAGGAGAGCACTTGGCCCAGGCTCTGAACAGTGCTGTCCTAGGAAGGTCTCTCTGCAAAGGAGAGAGCACTTGGCGCACCAGGGTCACAGCCGCTGAGAGGCCAGAGTTCTTCTAATGGAACCTCAGACACGAACACTCTCACTTGGCATTCAAATC